GGATGAGAAACAGAGGTGAGAAACCCATGTACCTCTAGAAAAACAGCAACAAAGCAGAAACTACACCCTGTCTTTTGAAAGGCTTCCTACTCCAGGCCCTTTTCAGTAATCCCAGAATTTACCAAGGCATCAAGAAGTGAAAAGCATTGATTGGATTATTTGCAGTGCATTACAGAGTGAAAGGCAATTTAAACAGCTTGATTTATGAAAAGTTCCAAAGAAGCCTATTTCTGCAAGTGATCACTTGAGAATTTGTCTAGAGCTGTATTCTCTGTGTGCATGCTCATTAAATTCTGTGATACTGTTTGCATCTACAGTTCTCAACCTGAAATCAAGCTCAGCTTTTACTTTTGCTTTCCCATGGTGCACAGCCATTTTTCAGGAAACTGATTTTATATTTACATCTTGAATTCTGCTACTTAAGTTGTCTGAAATTCCTGATTTCTGAATCAGTTTGTGAAAACTGGTGAAGTATGGGTTTAACAACTTTGTTTACACATAGACAATTCTTTGAAAGCATCAACAATACAACTAAAATGCTACCTGAGGGAATTGCACCCCTATTGGAAAATGAAGCAAGTCTGGAACATAAATTGTCAAAAATCTTCGAGCATGTTTTTGTCTAAAGTCAGGAGGTAAAATATTGCTACTGACTGAAGCATAATGCACCTGAAATTTGGTTGTGTTCACTGTTATTAGGCCAGTAAAATAGTATCGTATTTCCCCAGTGAAGGGAAGCATTTTTGAAAGCTAAGTTTTGTATGAATTTTAGGTACAAGTCCTAGAAAGGACTGATCCCCTCATCAAAAGAAACTTAAAATACTTGCTTGCAAACTGGCAGATAAATGTGGGGGGTTCCCATCATTAAGGCCATGTTTCAGGTTTTGGCTATAAGACTGTAATTTTATCAATACTGAGTCTTTTGATTGTCATCAATACCAAGTTTCAAAGTAATAAGCAGAAGGACACTCAATCCTTTTGAAATGGAGCATTTGAAGTCTGAGATGGGATGATATCCAGTTTCAACAATTTATTTCAGAACTTTGATATTTGAAGAACAAATCTTAGAGAAATGTACAATAATTTATATTTATTCTTTGATTATTTTAATTTTTCCCCTGTTTTTTGGGAAGCTTAATCATCCCAAACACTTTGTGCTGTATAGTGTATGCTCAACATTGTATTCCATCTATTTATTGACTGAATACTTGTCTAATGGCTGTTTGGTCAGCTGCCTAGAGAGTCATAGGAAGGGGCCCTTTCTACCCTTTACCTTTCTGGAAGTATTTTGGATATCTGTGCTGTGAAGTGGCACATTAATTAATTGCTGAGCCTAGAGCCCACAAGGGCAGGCAGCACAGCGTGCTGTGCTGTAGATCTGTCAGCTCCACCCTGAAGCAGAGTACTGTCGAATTTAGGATATCCTGGGCTAGAAGGGACCCACAGGGATCATGGGGGCAGTGCTGGTTACACCTGGCTTTCGTGCTTCCTCCAGAGCTGCCCTGTGCTGAGCCAGCTGGTGTCAGTGGCAGCAGAGCCCGATGCTGGCCGGGGTGAGAGCCAGCACAGGCAGTGCAGCTGATCCCAGGGGAATTACTGACCAGTGGTAGGTCGTGTCCCTGCCCTCCCAGCACCACTTCTCCTGTGGGATACCTCACAAAATCTCCCTGCCTGAACTGACAGCTTCCAGAAACGGCACCAAAAAGATCCTAACATACTTCCATAAAGCTAAGTTGTGCTGGTAGTAGTGTATAAGCTTGGGAATTGACTCAAAGTAGTAATTTTCAGTGGGCTATTTCTTCTTCTCAGGGGTTTGTACACATTTAATGCTTAACTGCTCCCTTTTTACTAATTAAAAACATCACCAAATCAGTCAAAACCTTGCAAAGTGCCTTGCAAAGTGCCTTCCAGCCCTTGTGTTAGTAGATAGTTGTTGCATGAGTTGCAATGCTCCAGCTGGCCAAATAACAAAATATGTAGTAGATGTCACCAGGAAAGCTGTTACATTTGCCTCAGCCTGCTATTCCCTCCTTAGCACCTGGGATGTGCAGTACAGGCTCCCAGCCCATTGGAGGTTCCTGCAGCATACTCTAGTGAAGTCTGATGGTTAGTACTTGTCTCCCAACAGTTACAACACAGGACTAGAGATCAAAACAAAACAAAACAAAACCAAAAAAACCCAAAAAAAACCCCAAAAAAACCCCCAAAAAACACCAACAAAACAAAACAAACAAACAAAAAAAACCCCCAAAAAACCCAAAAACCCAACTAAATTAAAAAAAACCCCCAGAGCTTGAGAGGAAATGCACTCAGTGTGGCTTTGTTCCCAGCCTATTTAGAGGTTCAAAATTTGTTCATTTCTGTAGAAGAGGCATTTTTTGGAAATATGACCATTAATACCAAGTCAGCACAAGAATTTCTAACACTTCATAATACTACAGCTATTTGAAGAGCATCAGCATCCTCTAGCTACACAGTAGAGCAAAGACCACACAGAAACTGTTCTATGGTTGTTCATTTAGAAGCAATAAAGGATATCTAGGACCTTCTGACAGAGCAGCTGTTCAGACTGACCATGGGAGATATTACCTGCATACCAACTACAAAGAGAAATATTTGGCTTTTTATTCACCAGCTGGTTTCTGCATAAAGTGCAGCAGACACACAAAAAATGCCAGACATTGTAAATATTTTCAAAATTGCTTTTGAAAGCCAGAGGGTAGATCTGGGACTTGTCCTGCATATGTGATTATTTGCCATGAAATTACAGGGAAACCACTAGTTCCCATCTGCTTCCCCTCCTCAGCGACTCTCCTTGCCCTAAATATCTGGGTCCATTCTGTGACATTGACTTTTTTGGGTAACTCCTTAGAGGAGGATCCTGCAGCCCTAAAGCTCTGCCTAGAGCTCTATCAGAAGCAGTTTGCTCTGTCTCCTGCAGACCATGACACAGCTGCCTGCCTTAAACCTGGGAGGTACGTAGTTCTCCTCTAACCTTATTATTATTATTATCATTATTATTGTGTAACCCTCTGGTTACATAATATTTAAGTAAACAAAATAAACTGAGAGTTGCCAAAGGGCAAAACAATCCAAACATGCTCTGTCAGATCAGTTCAGGGAGCACAAATGAAAGTCTTTTTAATAGCAGCTCCCTTTCATGAAGCATCACTTTAGTCTACAAGACTCATTTGTCTAAATGACTTTTTCTTTCCCTGAAAACAAATACCTTCATGTCTTCAGAAATCTGTGGGCAGTGATGATCCCAATGACAATATCTATATTTATTGTCATTACTATGACAGCCATACGTAGGATACCGCTGCTGTAGGTATAGTGGACATGTAAAGTGGAAATGCAAGCTCTGCCCAAAGAATATTCTGGTTCTTATGAAGATGGATTCTATAAATTCACTCATGCTTAGCAATGCTCTGCTTTCCTGCCACTGTCAGTTTGCTGACATTGGAGTTTTCCCTGCAATGAAAAAACAATATATTAAAACTGTGAAAAACTTGTGGCCTTTCAATACTTAGAATGGCTTATCCAAAAGATGGAGACAGACTCTGTACTAAGGCCTGTAGTAATGAGGCCAGGAGTAATGGTGTTAAGTGGAATGAGGGTAAATTTAGACTGGATGTAAGGAAGGTATTTTTCATGAGGAGAGTGGTGAGATGCTGGAATTGTTTGCCAAGAAGTTGCCACTTCCACAGGAAGCCCCATCCCTGGAAGTGTTTGAAGTCATGTTAGGTAAAGCTTTGAGCAACCTGATCTAGTGAAAAACATCCTTTTCCATGGCAGGGGTTAGATGATCTTTAAAGGTCCCTTCCCTTGTTCCTGGAACACAAACCATTATAAAATGAAAATGACTCTATGAAAAGGTCCTTTCTTGGGTTAAAAGTAGTGCTACATATACATTTTTTGAGTAGTTATGCCATGGTATAAGGTGAATATTTGAAAAAATTGACACATATGTAATTGTCTGGCTGTTTTATCACTTGAACACTTAAACAACCTTACTCCTCCACTATGCAGTATGTTAGAAAGTCAAATATCTTCAGTGCAAGCCCTAACAATTAATGACACTACATATCCCTTGAGTGACCTTAGGAGGAGATTGCATCTACCTTTTCAAACATTACAGGGAAGCTTTCCAAAATTGCACAGCCCTAGACTTTCCAAACAAATGTCCTTACCATGACATGACAGGAGTTCATGTGACAAAGAGGCCTCTAAAATAACCTCTTCTACACAAACAGTAAAGATTGTTATTTATGATTCTTTCACAGGATAATGGAAGAGTAGAGATTTTTCAAGGAAATCTCTGAATTTTTTCCAGTATGGTTTATTATAAGAAAACCTGTTCTGCTTTATTCAAATAGTTTGGCATACATCTAATTCTTAAAATGTCATATAATCTTACTGAAAAGGGAAAGATGGATCTGATCTGGGCTGCCTTTATCCTGCACTGGACTCACATACATACATACAAAAGCACAGGAGTACTAGCAAGGCAGATTTAATGTTGAAATAAGAGCACGAAGATTGAAATTCCAGCATTATTGAAGTCAGCGATAAAACTCTGCTGATTTAAATTAAACCGGGATGATTTTTATTAATGTTCGAGTCAAGAAGATAAATTTTATCTGATTCTAAGCATTTCAGGAAACTTTATGCTTAATGCTCAAAAGGTTATTTAAAAAGAAAAATATTCCAGAAATGTTGCTTAATCTTTAGTAGACTGGTGTGGAAAACATTTAAGCAGTAGATGGCTGCATATTGATTACCCTTGGCTTATCATCATTCCAAGGCAGCTTTCTCAAGTAAGCACTTGGTACAAATCCTTCATTCCCATAAGATAAGCAGTTCCTGGTTTAGATATCATACATGACTGCCTCTTAAATTGGTCACTTAACACAGGAAAAGAGATTAATCAGAGAACCACTTTTCAGAACACCACTAACAGAAATGCTCATGGTTAAAACATTTCTGCTTTTACTTACCATGCATAAAAATACAGAAGCAATTCGTTGTAGAAAACTGCACTTCAATGAAGAACTCTTTTTGCTAGTCACTGAAATGGTTTCTTCCTCTTCTTCTGTGGTTGGTTTCATCGAGTGGGAGTTTGGAGCAGCTGCTCCAGGATGTCCTCGTGTGCCATCTCAGGTGCTGTGATGACACCAGTGACTAATGCTGCCTGCAAACTACCCAAGGTCAAACACAGAGTCAGTAGGCAGGCTCGGCTCTCTTCCCTGGACAATGCCAGATGAAATTGAGAAGCTAAGTGAATATGGACAGCTGAGCTGCGCTCAGAGCAGCTGGCATGACAGCTCTATGTTATAGGGGCTGACAGGCATCTGTAGATTTAAGGTGGTGGACTGGATGTCATGCCCATCAGAAAAATAAATTGTATATTTGAATATGGGTGGGCACAGAGGGATGAGTTCCTTTAGCACAGATCTCAGTAGCACAAGAAAACTGATAGTTCATAAAAACAGCTGAAACAGGTAACTCTTGATGTTTGTTCTGACTATATTCAAGAAATCAAGATCTTCATTCATTTTTTCAAGCAGAATTTAAAGATTTTTTAAGGGTGTATATGTGACTTTTCCTTATACAATCAATACTGCAAAAGTCTCAGTTTCTCGACCCAAAGGAAAAAAACCTGTAAATGTCCTGCCTTTCCCTGGATGTTTGTCTGCTCCTTCATCCATCTTAGAGCCTCTAATCAGATTCCATAAGCGAAGCTGCCTGTATCATATATTTTTACATAACCATAAATTAAGGTGTTTAGGAGCATATGCCAGCTTACCAATTTATCATTTTCTTTGAGTTGGTGGGGTCATGTGCTGCTTTCTTTATCCACAACTGTATGCAATCCTGTGAGTTACCTCAAGTGGCTTTTTTATTGGTTTTCTTGTGATTGTAAACCTAATCAGGGAATTATGAGTAGATCAAGTAATTTCAGTCCGTTCCAAAGCAATTTGGGCATCTCCTAACTCAAAAACTCTTCTCTTCCACATTTCTATCAAGCACACAAAATTAAACTCAGCTAGTATCCATCATGAGACACACCAGGAACCTTATCTCTTCCAGGCAACTCCTGTTTGTTGTACTGCCTTGGTCTCCAGTGAACTCCCGAAGCTGTTTCTCATTTAATAACTCAGAAAATGTGCTCTTTTCTGCCCCTGATGGATATTAATGAAAAATATCTTATTTTAATTTGCTGAAAGGAATTTCTCTGTTTATGAACCCCTAAAAGAATAATAAACCGTGTGCAGGATAGGGATGCCCTGCCTTTGGGAAAAAGTATTGTTAAAGCTGAGTTGAGACTGAAGTGACACAGGATTCATGCCTCAGCAGTTCTCTCCCAAGCTGTCTGTGCTACTGCAATTGTATGGTGGTGATCTATGGTTTGCATACACACACACGAGGCAACATTTGTTAGGAGAGATTTTGTATTTTTATTCACCAGAACTAAATAATTGGAACAAATGTATATGTTCTGTGTGCACAAGTCCTTCTTCAGGCACACATGAAGAATAAGGCCCCTGGATATCTTAGTTATTGCACTAGGCAGTGACTGCTGTAAATTTTATTCAACCTGCCAGCCAAGGATGGTGATGAAAATGGAGTTGTACAGAAGACAACAAGGCTTGTAGAGCAATGTTTAAATCTACTGAGGTAATTCTAATATAGATCCTGAAAGGTGCCAGGACTGTCTGCAGTCTTGTCTTTGAAGATGAGATATGTGGAAGATCTTGGTCATGGAACAAAAGCATTCTGCAAGGCATATCTACCCTTCCAAATCCCTTACTTTCCACCAGTCAGAATGACTTTCTTGTGACTCACAGTATTTATTGCTTCTGACAAGCTGGATAGCTGAATTTCCTCTGTGTTCGTGGCTGCATTGAGCCACAGCCATATTCAGGGCTGGCTTGTCTGGTGGCAGCCCCTGGGGCAGGACAGGCTTCTGCCACTTCCAGTTTTGAAGACAGAGGACATAAATGATAAGGTGATGCAGCACAGGCTGCAATAAGAAGTAACACATGACATGTACATGATAGCTTGTATCTTCAACATATATAAATGATTAATCAAATTAATCAAAGCCCAGAAGACAGGCACAGGCATGCAGTTTTTTCCTCTATCCAGTTAGAAGGGATGAGGAAAACAGCCCAGCCATTGTTGCACACATGTGAGAGACAGGTGAGCACAGGACCAAGCTCCATGATAATGACACCAGAAGCAATTAACTCTGAGTGGAGATTGACTCTGCTGTAATAGGAAGCCCTCATTACCAGAATTACAGGATAGATCTGACTTATGTCACAATCCTGCCACCTCTGAACTGTTGCACTTCCTGCACTCCAGACACCACTTGACCAAGTTTTGTTTTACTGTACCTGTGATGAGATACTGTTGTGTCAAAAGATACCATCAGAATATTTTAAAAATAACTTTGGGATTATTTTTAATGGCTTTTGATCAATAGCAATGTTATCATCAAGCACAACAAGCATTAATCAACTGTTTATTACTAATCACTGAAAGCAAAAAGCTATGTCAATTCTAAATCACTTCCTTTACATGCTTTTTTTTTATGCTTTTCTGCCAAGCATATTGGATATAAGGAATGTCACTCCTTGGTGCCTAACTTTTCCTGAGCAGAGCTGAATGTAACTGGTATGTGACTGTGGGATTCATCTTATGAGACTTTGACCCATGTCTTCACATGAAATATGTCATCCTACAGAAGTGCCTACTTCTCATCAGGGATTGCTGAGGATGTCTGCACAAATGGCTTGGATGAGAAGCCTGGCATTAAATTTAGGTGACATCAATCAAGTCATGGGCAAAAGCCCATCTAAAATGAAGGCACTGAAATGCATTTAGGAATCAGGGAAATGTCAGACATCACAGTTCTTTAATTAAGAGCAGTGAAAGCTACACTTGAAACACTGACAGCTAAGGATGAGAGAAAATAAGAATGATGTAGGAGAAAAGGCTGCAAATACCACCTATTTATTTATTTATCACTAAAAAATCACTGTAATGCATTGTCAGGAAATAATGCCAAGTGTCCTTCAGCAGGCTGTGATTCCTTTAAATCAAGTCCAAGTGACCATGGCATTGTATGCTTGTTTTCTATTTACTGACATTTCTTAATTTAAACAAGAAGAAAACACAGAACTGGGTTGAATCCACTAAGCCAGAAGACACACATAATCTCTTCTGCAAACAACAAATCTCAATCTCATCTCACTGAGCTCCAATGAGATACTCATTCTTTTCAGAGGTATCTTGGCTAGAAGCAGATTGTTACTCAGTGAGTAATGCTACTTGGTGGTTCCTGTTGGTCATATCTGACCTTGGTGGAAAGGACCTTACAGCTGAGGGCCTGAGTTAGGCAAGATTCAAACCTTAAACTGCCTTTGTGGCTTTGTGGAATAATGACTGAGTTGCCTGCAGTTGTTAGAAAGATGGAAAAAATATAGTACCGGGATTAAACTGTTGTCTCTTTAGAGCACCTAGTGGCATTAGAGCAAATTGATATTCAGTAATCATATTTATGAACTGATGTGCACCTCTGATATTAGGCCTTTGTAATTTTTGAAGAGTTTTGAAGATTAAATTGCTCCTTCAATTTCCTGTGGGTTTTTCTTTTTGGACCTGATCAGATTGTCATCATCTGATGGAACTTTCATCTTTTTGTTAGAGCAGAAGAAATTAGAAAGCATTGGGAAAAGTAAATGGTGTACAGAATTACTATAATGGAAATAAATTTTTCTTTGTCCAACCTGCCAGGGAAAAGAACCAGTCCAAGATGAGCACATCTGTGTTTCATTGCTGGATGTATATTTGACTGTTGCAATACGCTGGAGAGACTTCAGGATATTGTAATCTGTAGAGATTAATGTCCTGATTTGTGTCCATATATACAGCTTTCCATGTCCAAAACTGGCTGAAAGCCCCAGAGCATTTCCTGAGTAACTGAGTGGATCTTATTATTTCCTTTATGCTTGCAGTGGTGCTATTGTGGTTTTCATAATGATGACTGTGCCACTGCCATCTACAGAGAGCCACAGGTGACAGCCTGAGATCCAGCTCTGATGTGTATATCAGAAATTATAATTCTCTGCAGAACTGCATTCCTATTATACATCTGGAAGTGTGTGCCGGATCATTTCAGCTTCCATAAGGCTTGTCCCGTACATAACAAAGAGAAGATATGTGTGTGTTCACCGAGTGAACTTCCCTCTGCTCTACTGCAGCATTGGTCTGACCTACATGAACCACTGTCCAGGCAAAGACAGTGGATGCCAGGCAGCAGCAGAGGTGAAAGTGTTTCTCAGGCAGGAAGCTCCTGCTTCCTGTGGTTTTCAAAGCACAAGGAAGTGCCCTCTGGCTCCCATGAAGGGACCTTTTGTTCCCAACAGGCTCTGTAATGGCATCAGCTTTAGGCACCAGCTCCTCTGTGGGAGACAAGAGGTATAATGCTGAACTGAGGAAAGAAATGGAGCCATCAAAGGTGCAGGATGTGAGAATGCAAAAATAATGCCTTGTACAAAAGTAACACCTCAGGTCAGCTGGGAAGAAAGCACGGGAGAAAGGCTTGCAGAGGCTGGAGAGGTGAGGGACATGAACTGAGAGGCAGGCAGAAAGAAGGCTGGGGGGATGGTGACACCTCTGATGATCAAACGGAGAGATGAAAGGACAAAGTAAAAATGTGCTGAGAGCTTATAGATGTAGCTGTGTCTAAATGTAGACTGTTCCTCACTATGAAAAGTCAGTATTGGCCTTCTTAACCTGATTATATCATATGGCTTTGGAAAATGTTGTCAATTTGTCCTATCTAGATGTGGCATTTATTATAGCTTCATTTACTGGACCTGCTTTAGAAATACCCATCAGAAAAATGTCATGTCTCTGCTTTTTAAATTTCGCTTTCAAAATATCTTCTCTGAACTCAAGCAGATTGTAGAAATTAATCATAAAGACTTAGCAGAATCCAGAATGCAGATTTGCATGGCTGATAATCTCTCCAGATAGACAAAGCATCTCCTGATGGAATCCAGGCATAACAGAC